TTTGCTGTCTTGGTACAGTAGAACTTGCATTCAGTGGGAGCTGCGAATTACAGTACAAGGCCTGAAAGTGGTAACTGTTAAGGCCATTGTCCACTGTAGCCTAGGTGGGTATAAATGAAGCATGAAGTGAAATCCTAATTTTTTTTCTGTATTCTACAGATAAAGAAAAGGTAAACACAACTTGGTCGTTGTGTAATGACTCACAGGCAAATGGTCAAGATTGCAGGACACACTCGGTTGGCAAATATAATGTATATGACTGTATGTTGGTGTTTTTACAGTGTGTGGGGGTAAAGGTCAACAACATCATGTAGCACAAAGCTTCAGACATATGACACAGCCTGGCCCACTCCCACAGGGGAAATCACTGTCATTTCTAATGGACACCATCGTGTTTTAGTGGTGATGCTTATTTTGAAGAGTCTTTGAGTGAAATGGCGAAATGAAGATCTCATTCACATTGCCTACAGAAAAATGTAAAAAGTAATTTGATTTAATTTGTATGGTTTGTTTGTGTTTTCAACCAACATTGTCTCTATGTCCATGACAGTTATGTTAGTTAGGCAGGACAAACCTGTTCAGACAACTCAACAATGCAACAACTGTGGAATGACGCCTCTACATTGTCTTTGTGCATTGTTGTTTTAACAACATCACCCTTTACATTTGTATTCATTGTTAACATCTGATTGTAATATGTTTAAGCTGTGGGTATCGCCATCAACTGGTAGCATTGCATAAAGCAAAACAGTTGTTGTTTTGGTTACCCCACGCTGAATTGTCCTGACAGACACCTGTCAACCAATCAGAAACACATATTTACACTAACTAATAAGACAACTGGCTAGTAAACGCTGGGCAGCCTGAAAATACAATGATATATCTTCATTGATCCTGTCCAGTCAGAGGGGACAGTAATGTTGCACTGAAAGTCACTCTGGGAAATTAGCAGTAACCTTGTCAGTGACAAAAAACAACTGTGTTCTCATTGATTCCTGACAACATAGCTCATTCACACAATACTGCTTGGTGGTATCACTGATGACGTCTGGATTTGTGCCTCTGTGGGAAACACACACATCCCTGTTTTTGTATTTACTCATGCAAACATCATATCCTGATTTTAGAATCCCAGAGGCGTCTCTATATTTTTGTCCTCCCCAGCTACATACATGAGAGAGTCAGAATATTAGGAACACCTCTGAATATAATGTAGAATATAATGGAGTTTTCTGTGTTCCATGTAAATGCCATATGTTGAATGAGATCATAACCGGGATAGTCATCTCCATATAATTGCACTCCTACCACACAGACATTTCTCTGTAAGTAAATTTTCAGAGTGTACCCAAAAGTAATGTTACTCACGTCTGCATGGACAGAATGGAAACCAATTTGATATCAATCAACTAAATGATATTACAAAGACAATAAGGGCTAAAACAACAACGATATCTACAAAGGTAAAAGCTCTATGGTTAGTAACATCCAGCCACATTCATGCAGGTGCACGGTGTGGCCATTATAACCTAACAAGTAGTCACAGCTGTATAATGGATGGATGGTGCAGTGTGTGAGATCCAGTGACATCCAACGATGAGGCTGGAGACCAATCAAAAGCTAATGGCAGCTCACATGACCACAGTGGGTTATCCAGCACTAGCCATGTTCTAGTTGAAGCTAACACACTAAAACCTGCACTTAGGGCAATTTTACTTGTTAGACTAAATTACCTGTCCAGGAGAAAACAGGCAACTTTGGCATCATTCTGGAAACATTTGTCCTTCTTCAAGGTTTCCATCTGGGAAAAGCCACACCACTGTTTATCCTCGTCGTGTGCTGTCGCTTATCCCATTTCCTCATGTCTTTGTTTCTTTGTTGATTCAAGCTGTTTTCCTTTTTCCTGTGTTAAAGTATAACTATGATCCTCCATTTCTTCAAATTATAGTTGTTAAACTCACGACAATGCTTCCTCTTGTTTCTAATGTTACTTCTTTATCTTCCAAGGGTCTCTGAATCATTATTTCAAATCCAAGCTGCTACTTCAACATGAATACAAGAAATTCATGCTTTAGAGCCAGTATGTGGTTTGTACGTTCTGGGCTACTGTAAAAAACATGGCCTCCATGATAGGGGACCCGCTCCTATGTAGATATAAAAGGCTCATTCTAAGCTAAAGAAAATGCAGTGATTCTTATTTTCTGGTGATTATACATTAATGAAACCATAAATATGCATATATAGCTGGTTCTGTACCGGAAACAAATTCCTTGGCCAATAAAGGTGATTATTCTTATTCTTATCCTTATTATCCATTTCTGATAATAAATCCTTCTAGATCTTACACACTGCACCTTTAATATTCATGTAAGCTTGTTAAATGGGGAATCCGTTCTCTGACAAATTCCTTCTTGATGCTCAGATTCATTGAGGTCTCCTCAAACAGTCCAGCTTTTCCCACCAAGTCTAACTGTAAAACCATTTGCTCTAAGTGGTCGCCGCTATCCCTCTGACTGAAATGATGTAAATGTGGCCACAGATAAATCAGCTCTGTTCTGTCAGCTAGTAAGATCACATCAGTGTCACACAGATTTCCAACTTCCATGCTGGGCACATTTGTGTTCATTCGATCACTGCACCCCAGACCTGAGATCTAAAGATAATCGGGTCCTGTGTGATGAATTCATGAATTGAACACAAAACTAATTATTTATGTTGCTGCACAGTTTTCATTAAATTACATTTTCCAAACCCATTCCCTAAATCTAATAAAAACAAAACAGGCAGGAGGCAAATTATCACATCTCAATGCACATCAGCCGCACTGATCTCAGCATGCTATTGTTTTACCTCCTACACACAAGGAACAACTTCCTGCAGTGACACTGAGCATCATCATTAAATCATGTGCTGCACACTCATCCAATATGAATGTAATTCCCTGAGAGGCTGGGCTGCTTTTGTTTTTGCTCATGCTCAGCTGATTCCATGCCATCTCACTATAGGACTCCTCTCCTCTTTTTATTTTGATGATTCATAAATTGAAAAGGTCCAATTTGATCCAGGGAACATGGCCACACTTATACTCATTTTGGTAATATGCATTTTTATCTTCAATAGTATATTTAGCAGTAAATATTCAGTGTCGTCAGTTCATTAGTAACAGAGTAACGCTCTGCTTAGGGTTGTGTTTTAGGAGCTGTCTATCTGCCTGTTCTGCTGCAGACAATAAAACAAGCAGTGTAAGCTCACTGTGGTAAACAAACTGCTAAATGACTGTTTTAAGCTTGCAGTGTGTACTACTACTACACAAAGCTTAGCCAATGTGCAGCATGAAACACACACACACACAAAGCTTAGCTCTTGGAAATCCAAAAGCAAAACATGCCAGATGCAAAAAAATCTCTGACCACATCTAAGTCTTTGTCCTCATGATAATACTTTAACTTATCCCCAAAACTATGGAAACTATACAGATGTTGCAGAAAAAACATGTGCATTCCTTTTTTCTGATATGAACTTTTTGGATTTTGAAGAAGCACTCACACCTTTACACGTCCAAAACACAATTAAATCTGGTCTGTCTTAAAGCAATGGTGGGAGCTTGGCCAGAATCTGTATCTCCACACAAATATGTGGGCTCTGTCTTTCTTTGTCGTACACCTGGATCAACAACAATCACCTAAATCACCAAAAACCCTGGATAATACACAGCCCTCCCCGTTCGCACTGCTGATGCAGTGAGGCCATAACAGGGACGCTGCTTCTGGTGAAAATGTATTTGTTCAACGCCCCGAGCCTGGCCAGCTAAATCCCATTCATTGCAGAAACAGAGACAGATATCTCCCAATCCGGACAAATAAAACTAAGACTATCTGCCACTAATTGCATTATGGTCCTGATAGCTCCCGAATGGCGCCTGATGTTTCTACACAAGGCTGCTAATCACAGAGCTAGTCAGAGAAGAGCAGAAGACCTCAGTTGGCTGATTCATCTCGACTGTGGGTTCAATACACAACAAATAACAAAACCCTACATATTGGTGGGAAATGATGAAGTCTGTATTCTGTCTTGGAATTCTGATGTGATATTACTCCAGTCAATTAGAGGAGACCCTAGTAACTGCTGCTGCTGCAGCTGCTGTGTTTTCTTTTATTCCATGATGAAATGTTTTATTTGTCAGAGTACAGAGTTAACAGAAAATCTAAGGATCAAAGTGGGCCACATTAGAGTAAATTACTCTGACACACAGTCCTGTAGCATGACATAGAACAGTATACAACACTTAAAGATGTTCTTATGATGTCACTTCTGTCAGTGTGAACATGTGTCTTTGCTTCAGTTATTTAGTACTGCACTTTAATGAAGGTAAGAGATGCACAAGGGACAGATAGAAGAGAGCAACAGTCACAGCTTGGTGGCCTGGGGGTTCGGGGTGTATGACCAGTAATTTCATAATTGTTGGTTTGAGTTTTCTTTCTACTGTCAAAACAAAACAAAACAAAAATAAGTAAATAAAAAAGAGAATATCCTCACTTCTAGTCTCTGGTATGTGTCAAATTCAGGCTCCTACATGTCCCATAATGCAAATCAGTAGCAAATGTCACACCTGCAGGTTGTAATGTTTACGTATATATTTGTGGTCTCTTAAGCCAAGTGGAGTTATTTTTTTCAGCATTGACTAAGCTCCTCCAGACACACACAGGACATTACACAACTGTTTTCACAGGCTGAGTAGTAAACTGACTGGTGTGTAAAACGGGTGGGCTGTCACTGAGCATGGAGCTCATCTCCATGAACCACAGAACAAGCACTATGAGCCACTAAATGGTTCCAACCTAGCCTGAGCCACAGGCACTTGGGGAGTTTTATCAAGCCTCCTGGTGACCTGAAAGGAAACTGGGTGAGAAACTTTAATTCTTATACCAAAGGATCATATGATGGGACTCTATTTAACAAGGGAATTTCCCTTTACCAAGACTGTGTGTAGCTGTTGTTACCTTTGCAGCCACAGAGGAGCTGGGCTTCTCCAGTAGATCCCAGAGCTTCTGTCGTTTGTCGGGACAGCAGCCCTGGTCCTCCTCCTCTCCTTCCTTCTCCCTCAGTGTCTCCGCCTCCCTCCTCAGCTCTTCATTCATCTGCTCCTTCTTCTGGTGGTACCGCGCCTGGCAACATGACTCCAGGTAGATTTCATCGATGCCCCAGTAGTCAAGCTCCTGGCCAAAGGACAGGGCACACATCTCCTCCATCATGTGCAGCTTCCCTGTTCTGTAGAAGTTGAGGATGGAGGAGAAGGCCACCGGGTGCCGGTCAAAGAAATACTCGTTCTCAGTGAGGCTGTAGTCATCGCAAATCTCCAGCAATGAGTCGTGAGTATTGCAGTCTCTTAACCGTCCCAGACGGGTTCTGGGCAGCCGGTCCAGTGTTCTCCACAGGACTTCATGCGTGAGACCTCCAACGTTGATCCTGACCCGCCGGGAGCGGGCCTTGGTGCGGATGATGTCAATGGGTTCCGGCGGGAGCACAGGTGCTGTGGCGGGGCAAGGGTTGACTTTGGCTGTGCTGAAACTCGCTCTGTCTGTCATGGTTGCTCTGAGTGTGTGCTGGCTCCCCTGTGGGGCTGGGTCCGACTGAGGTTGTAGTGGTATGTGGGGGTTTCTGAAGCTTGTGAGGCTCAGTGAGATGATGGTGGAAGTCGGTAGAGGGAAGAATACCCAGGCCCACCAAGCTCAGCTGGATGTTTAGAGAACTAAACTCCTGGTTAGATCCATGGCTGGGAAAACAACATCACACCAGAGTAAATGATATGACATCATTCTCCAAAATGAGACATTATGTTTTACTGTCATCCCTTTTTCATCATAGCTGCATCAAATCATTGGGGCTCCTGAGAAACACATGAATCACTAGGTCCATACTAATCCACCCCTCCACTCCTCCTAGCCACCTCTTTGTGCATTACAAGTCATTATTTTGGCTACAGTGACTTACATCTTCCCCCAAAATACATTATCAAAACTTTTTGTGATTCAATGTGTACTATACTACAGTAGACACAAGTGCAGAGCAAGGCGGAGGAAGGAAGTGTAAATAGAGGCCAACCATTTCATTTTTGCCCCACGGGTCCCTTTCAGGTTAATCTGGGACAGAGCCAGGGGGTGGGCAGCATGCAGCAGGTCCAATATACTAATCCACTGAAATATTATTAGTTATACATAACCTGCATGTTCAGAGAGTGCACGTATTGTTCAGAGGTTTGTCTGCATATTTTAATAAACATCTCATAACTTTTCATCTATACTATAGTTGGTTGGGGAAAACACAGAACAGTAATATAAAATGTGTAACGATAAAAAACAATCTGTATTACAACAGCCCATAATAGACATGTTTTGTTTTTTCATATTAGATACAGGCATTTAGAATTCGCTGAGGTTGCCAGACAGTAAATTATTTTTGGTTCAGTGAGTAGGAGATGCACAGCAGAATTTGGCCCTAAATCAAATGAGCAAGTCTAAAGTATTGATAGTGGAGATCCATTATACAGCCACATCTGGGTGAAAATATTGGAGATATCAGGCAACTCAGCAAAACCTAGGACAACTAAGAACCCTGTCATGACATGGCTTAATAATGAAACTGTATATCTTTCAACAGGTTTTCTTATGTAATGAATATCAGTTTGAATCCACTCCCAGGGAATGAATGGAATCTAAACTGCATGCTTTTCTTTTTTTTCTCCTGTTGGTCTGTAAAGGCTTATGTTGTCATTAGAAGTCCTCAGACTGCATGACCTTTATCTGATTGTGTAATCGAGTTCCACAAATCCCAGTAGTGGCTTTATGCTTCCTTTCCCCTGGCTCAAATCAGCCGAGTTAATTATAGCCCATCTTCTCCTGGGACACTCATGGGACACACGGAAACGTCAGGAAGCGAGCTGCTACGTCACAGCCAAAAATCGGTCCTCCCCTCCAAAATAAATTAGGACTACAGTTAATATCATTTACACCATAAATTAAAAAAAAAGACTTTAAAGTTCATATACTGGGTTTATAAACCACCAAGATTCAGGTGTGTAAGAAATTAAAGAGCTGACTTTCTTCTTTTATCCCGTTTCTTTATTAAATCAGAGAGATTCCACTGACAGACTCAGGGTTCAGTGGCAGCATTCAGATGAATCCTGGACAGAACTAGATTCCAGAATGACAGCATTCACTTGTAATTCTGTCAAGAGATTAAAAAAAATAAAACCTCGGAGTTAAACCGTGATTTTGAGTCCAGGAGTCCACACCAAGTTTGCAAAGTAGTCTGAGGTAGACGCCTATATACAGTACAAATAACACAGTTATAACATGTTAGGTGAAAAAAAAAAACCTCCGTTCAGCCCACCTCTGTAGAAGTTGTTGACATTTCAGAAATTCAGAAGCCCTGTTTTTCCAGGAGCTCCGACCATAACAGCCAGGTAGTTATCCCTGCTGCTTCGCCTGCCCTCCCGCCGCTGATTCGCAAAGCCTCCCGAGAGCGCACAGACCGCTGGAGAGCCACATTCTGGCAATAAATAAATAAATAAACGAACTAACAAATAAATAAATAACGAGACAAGTGAGTGAATGTCCCGGGAAGTGTGAGTGCAGCGCTGAGATCTATATGGAAACAAGCAGATATAGAGAGAGAAGCGTGAACCGGTTTGCACGGAGAGCTACCGGCCCCGGGAAAGACCGGATGAAAGGATAAGAGAGAGGGAGAGAGAGAGAAAGAGGGAGAGAGAGAGGGAGGGAGAGAGAGAGAGAGGCAGACAGAGAGAGAGGGAGGGAGAGAGAGAGAGAGAAACAGAGAGAGATGGTGGGTATAATTGGATTGACGCGCTCGGCGCTGAGCGCAGCTCCAGACCTGCCGCTTCCGCCTGAACTGCTCCCCTCTTTATTTCCTTACTTTATTCTTTTTCGTTAATTTCAAGCGTTTCGTAGGACCTCGGGGGACAGTGGGCTAAATCCATTGAAGCCAAAGACAAAATCCTCCAGGTTCGCTTTTTGTGTTCAGTCTCACGCAACACGAATCGGGCGTCATCATTACATCTCTCCAACAACTTCACGGTCTCAGTCTCGACTTGATTTTCTTCTGATATGTAGTATTTCTACAGGCTAGTCGGAAAATAATACATCGGCTTATGGTTTGTTTTGTTTTTTTGATTCCTTTATTGTATCACGTACTGATCTGTATCTGTATCAATATATTTATATTATAAATGATATGTCAAATATATATCAGGCCATAGCTCTACACTACTATGGGAATGTAAAAATAGCACTTACACTAGTTTTGTCACATTTAGCTGCATGTGACAAACTCTAAATGTAAATGTTAAATGTTAAATGTAAATGATGTCTCGCCAGGTGTAAAACTGAATATGTAGTAGCTCCACAGCTTTGCCCTATTACAGCGCAGCACACAGCCCCGCCCATGATGCTGAACTCCAATCAGTGATGCTGACTCAAAGACCTCAAACACAGCCCCGCCCACACCTGACTCTGTGTTTGACTCTGTGCATCCCCTGAATCGAGCTCCAAACTCTCTGTGAGGAACTGTTACGCACAGAGGATTTAAACGATTGTGCTGTGCTTATTCAGCGCCCCCTGGTGGCAGCAGGTTCATGTTCACCTCAGGTTTTCAGTCATTCTGATGGATGAACGTCAACAAGGTGTACAGAAGAGATGAGATGATGTTGGTGTAGTTTTGAGTAAAACCCATGTGAGCTGTAGCGAGGCCTGCTCTTCGTGATTCATAACAATGATACATTTAATTACAGTGCAAAGTGGATTTTATTGTAACACCCACCACCACCCTGCCTGCCCTGTGTGCTACTCTCAGTCTCCCATCAGTCTAAGTGGCTGATTTCTCACAGTGCCAGGTAATGGAACAATCACTTGTCAAGTCTGAGCTATAGCCCACAATGTAACTGAGCTCTGAAAGTGTTTCTACCCACAGAACCTCCAAAGACATACAATCTATGATGTCACATATGTGGTTTTTATCTCTATCATTTGATAGTTTCATTATAGTGTAGACAGAAGAGATCTGACAGGAAATAAAGGGGAGAGAGATGGACATGCAGCACCCCGACCAGCTTCCAGCCAGGGACCCACTATGCATGTTGTGTATGCTAAAGAGCAGGAGGATAAAGGTGTAAGCTTCCCTACCGTTCTAAGTTGAAAGCTGACAACAATTTCAAAATTCACTGCTCTTGTCTGCCACATAGCAGTGCTGCAAACCCACTTCGTCTCAGTGGTACAGTGCAACCTCTGCCAAGGGCAACTCAGTTTCCCCATGATGCCATAAAAGCAATATTCCCATGATAGTTTGACCCTCATATGTGACTGCTTGACCATGAAAACCTACCGCTGCCATTTGGAACAATGCTGATATGTTTATTAGTAGGAGACTTGCTTGCAAATTTGCCTCTTATTATTTGAATTACTAAAAAAAAGGAGCTATGGGCAGTATTTTATTTGTACAGATTATACAGATCATTTAGTAATCATTAAACAAACCTCTGAAAAATGTCATGCTAAAAGTTTCTGGTAACTGAGAAAAGTAATACAATACATACCGTACTGCGTGTTTAAATAATCTATAGTTACTACGTACACGTCATTTGGAATGAAACCAGTGTGCAATAGTGGAAGAAGTACTCAGATCCTTTACTTAAGTAGCAATACAACAGTGTAAAAATACTCTGTTACAAGTAAAGGTTCTGCATTCAAAATGTTACTTATGTACAAAAGTATTAGCATCAAAACATACTTAAAGTACTACAAGTAAAAGTACTCATGATGCAGAATGTTCATGTTCACCTCAGGTTTTCAGTCATTCTGATGGATGAACGTCAACAAGGTGTACAGAAGAGATGAGATGATGTTGGTGTAGTTTTGAGTAAAACCCATGTGAGCTGTAGCGAGGCCTGCTCTTCGTGATTCATAACAATGATACATTTAATTACAGTGCAAAGTGGATTTTATTGTAACACCCACCACCACCCTGCCTGCCCTGTGTGCTACTCTCAGTCTCCCATCAGTCTAAGTGGCTGATTTCTCACAGTGCCAGGTAATGGAACAATCACTTGTCAAGTCTGAGCTATAGCCCACAATGTAACTGAGCTCTGAAAGTGTTTCTACCCACAGAACCTCCAAAGACATACAATCTATGATGTCACATATGTGGTTTTTATCTCTATCATTTGATAGTTTCATTATAGTGTAGACAGAAGAGATCTGACAGGAAATAAAGGGGAGAGAGATGGACATGCAGCACCCCGACCAGCTTCCAGCCAGGGACCCACTATGCATGTTGTGTATGCTAAAGAGCAGGAGGATAAAGGTGTAAGCTTCCCTACCGTTCTAAGTTGAAAGCTGACAACAATTTCAAAATTCACTGCTCTTGTCTGCCACATAGCAGTGCTGCAAACCCACTTCGTCTCAGTGGTACAGTGCAACCTCTGCCAAGGGCAACTCAGTTTCCCCATGATGCCATAAAAGCAATATTCCCATGATAGTTTGACCCTCATATGTGACTGCTTGACCATGAAAACCTACCGCTGCCATTTGGAACAATGCTGATATGTTTATTAGTAGGAGACTTGCTTGCAAATTTGCCTCTTATTATTTGAATTACTAAAAAAAAGGAGCTATGGGCAGTATTTTATTTGTACAGATTATACAGATCATTTAGTAATCATTAAACAAACCTCTGAAAAATGTCATGCTAAAAGTTTCTGGTAACTGAGAAAAGTAATACAATACATACCGTACTGCGTGTTTAAATAATCTATAGTTACTACGTACACGTCATTTGGAATGAAACCAGTGTGCAATAGTGGAAGAAGTACTCAGATCCTTTACTTAAGTAGCAATACAACAGTGTAAAAATACTCTGTTACAAGTAAAGGTTCTGCATTCAAAATGTTACTTATGTACAAAAGTATTAGCATCAAAACATACTTAAAGTACTACAAGTAAAAGTACTCATGATGCAGAATGGCACATTTCACATTCCTCTATATCATATTATAATTACTGATGCATTATTCTGTACATCATATTTAATGTTGTAGCTGGTAAGGGGGGGGGGTAGTTGTACCCAGTTTATATGCATTTAATTTGAATTGCTGCTGGGCAGCTTGTGAGTTTTCCACCACAGATGAATGAGGTCTTACAAATTATACTGTAATTTGTATTAATCTGGTTTTGAAAAGTAACTAGTAGCTAAATTTATAAATTAAATGTCGTGGAGTAAAAAGTACATTTGCCTTGAAATCAAAGTATGAAGTAGCAGAAAATGAAAAGACTCAAGTAAAGTATAGATACTTCACAATTGTACTCAAATACAGTACTTGAGTAAATAGTTACCTTCCACCACTGGAATGCGGAAACCTAACAAGCTACTGTAACTCACACCAACCCACCCACCCACCTCTCTGGGTTACAGGCAGAGCCCAGACCACATGCTGCCTTATCACACTCACTAGCTGCTCCCAGAGGTCCCTAGATTGTCCCCAGGTCAAATGGGATGAGTAAAGTTTCAGCATGGTGTTTCCATCCTGGCGCCCTAACCATAAACAGGGAAAGAAGAGATTAATTCAGTCAGTGAGTGACAGTTTTGATTGGCATTAAATCAGGAACACCTCTGGGTTGTGTGAGTGCACCAGCTCTTTGGCACCTTATACAGATGACTGTAAAACTGATATTCCAGTTACAGTACACTGAAGCTCAGAGAATGACCCCGTCATCAGCAGCACCGCGCAGGCAGCAAAGTGGCATGGGAGGAATTCTCTTATTAATTGAAAGAAAAGAGAGGAAATCATTATTGGTCTTAAAGTAGAGCTTTATCCTGTCCACCATTTACAATTTATAGCACGTTTCCTTCCATAAATGTTAAGACTTGTTTGTTTTTTTTTAATAGATGCTGCCCTCTCCTGGAGCGTGCAGGCAGCAAGCTACGGCATTTTTCCTAGGACACTGAGATCATTGTGAGCAAACAGATTGTATAATAGATTGGAAAAGTGCAATTCACTATGGCATCATTGCATAGCACAAACATCTTCCATCTGTACAGCTGAACGACTGATTGTCCTGACTGCTTGGAATATGTGCCATAAAACAAAAGTTATTAATTTCACTGTCATTCAGATTATTGTGTTACATTAGTGAAACAGTGTTTATCTTGTGATTCAAGACGTACTTCTAAGAAACAGGAGAGGGACACGTGGGCTGTGAGCACAGACACGATACATGACAGGTGAAACCAATTCCTACAAACAGAGCAGAGACCAGTCAGGATGTCAGCCTCCTGAAAACAGGATGAAACTGATTTATTGGTTTACAAAGAACACAGAATTCCTTCTATATTCACATATCATTTACATAATGCCTTCCTTTATTTGTGCATTATAATGCAGCTTTAACAGTAAGACTCAACATCAACAGGTGTACATGCACATTTAAATAAACACATTGGTATTAGAACATATAAAATTGCATACCACCATCTACCAGCAATGCATTCTTTATTTTATTTTAAAAAAAGAAAAAGAAGAAAGGAATTACTACAAAGCGGTTAGCCAAGCAGTAAACGGAGCCCAGGAAGATGCCTCAATTATTCCTATCGTAAACGTCAAATTTAACAGTTTCGACACTATTCAGATGAAAAAAAAGCAAAGTCATGCTTTATGTTCTGAACACAGTGTATGTGCTGGACATATCAGAACGACACTGTGGTCCCAAACACTGAAACACCACCACCACCACCACCACCACCACCCCGAGCCAAAATAAAATGACAGCTTCAATTCAGAAACACACCAACAAAATGCATAGAAAAGTCTGCATCCAAATCTTCTGGTTTGAATAGTCGGTTAACACATGAAAGTCAGCAGGTAGAGGACATGAGGGGGAAATAAACACAACCTAAATATGTACATCCAGCCAATAATACATTTTTTTCTTTTCCATTTCAAGCTCAAGTTTGTTTGTGCTGAGGTAAAACACTTCTCCAGCAGAAGATGTTTTGGTCTTTACTTGTGTTCGAGTCGCAGCAGCTGCTCTCTACCATCAATGGTTAATGACCGCAGCTGCCCATCCTCCTCCACCTCCACTCGCTCCTGACCGTTCTCCACGATTCTGAAGGAGGACAAATCCACAAAGGTGATGAGGTAAGAAAGAGGAGGCACATTTTTTTTGTAACCTTGGCCAGATCCGTGCCTTGCCACAATTCTGTCTCTGAGCTCTTCAGGCAGTTCCTTTGACCTCATGATTCTCATTTGCTCTGACATGCACTGTGAGCTGTAGGGTCTTATATAGACAGGTGTGTGGCTTTCCTAATCACGCCCAATCAGTATAATCAAACACAGCTGGACTCAAATGAAGATGTAGAACCATCTCAGGGATGATCACAAGAAATGGACAGCACCTAAGTTAAATATATGAGTGTCACAGCAAAGGGTCTGAATACTTATGACCATGTGATATTTCAGTTTTTCTTTTTTAATAAATCTGCAAAAATGTCAAAAATTCTGTGTTTTTCTGTCAATATGGGGTGCTGTGTGTACATTAATGAGGAAAAAAATGAACTTAAATGATTGTAGCATATGGCTGCAATATAACAAAGAGTGAAAAATTTAAGGGGGTCTGAATACTTTCCGTACCCACTGTACAGTGCCTTGCGAAAGTATTCGGCCCCCTTGAACTTTGCGACCTTTTGCCACATTTCAGGCTTCAAACATAAAGATATAAAACTGTAATTTTTTGTGAAGAATCAACAACAAGTGGGACACAATCATGAAGTGGAACGAAATTTATTGGATATTTCAAACTTTTTTAACAAATAAAAAACTGAAAAATTGGGCGTGCAAAATTATTCAGCCCCCTTAAGTTAATACTTTGTAGCGCCACCTTTTGCTGCGATTACAGCTGTAAGTC